CTTTTAGGCCAATTAGGTAGCTGTTGATTGCCCCCAAGATAAAAGTGCCACTACTACACCAATGTCATACACTGTGCTGGCCATTGATGTGGTTATTTGGTCTTGAACCTGGTGTTGGACCACTGATTGATGTTTTCCCTTGGCACCTTCATAGCGCTCTCCAAAGCTATGAGAGCTAGCCTTCATGGCAAGTGATTTCAGGTCAGTTCTAGCTCTATTGCTCCAAATCCTGTGTCTGAAGTATATTATATCTTCAGAAGTAGGGTCTTACCTTCAAGTTCAAGGGAGGCCATCAAGTGCTGTGGCAACAGCCTGTGTAATTTTAGGAGTCTCCTGGACCACCCTGGCCAACAACTCATGGAAGGTTTCTTGTGTGGCGTTGTTTCTTGTTATGTAGCCTTTAGCTATACACATGGACTCATGTAGAGATACTGTATGTATAATTTGTCATTAGGTTGTTAGACTAATATGACTCCCTCTGGTTTTTTAAAAACTAGGCAGGCACTATTTAGTCTTCATCTCTACTGGCTAGCTTTCACAGTGCTGAAAGGTGCTATAAATGCTACCAGAAGAGAAAATTAATTATCAACCTTACCCAGCTGCAAATCCTGCAAGCTATAACTGGCCTGGCAAGATTTGCCCACTGGTGCAATAGTGGTATGAATATTATGGGAGCAACCAACTACTTTCTAATTGGATATAAGGCCCACTTCATAAAATGGAGCCCATACCTGACACTGATATCAGACCTAGGGACCTGAGGCTAAACAGGTCACAAGCCATAGGGGGAACCTAAAAACTATTATTCTGGTAAATAGCTATAGTACTAAACTGACTGTTTTTAAAAAATACATGTTTCAGCACTATGGAAGCTAGTCAGTAGAGATGAGGCCTTGAAATCTGATTTGTTCTACAGCTCATGCATATAGTGTTTTCAGCAATAAGGTCTTTCAGGGACATTCTGGTGAGTAACCAAGAGCAGAGGCAATGGCCGGTACTGTGTGAGGGTGTATGGGACCCCTGGTGAACAGTTTCAAAAGAAGGGAGTCTACTCCTGGCATTGAACTTTTACTTTGTTAGCCTATGGTTTCTAGCAGGGGAATCATTTATTGTACTCATAGATTAATGCATCTTTCAACTCTCAGCAGAGAATCTTCCTTATGCAGCAGATAGTAACCAAAACAGAAACCCACAACTGGTCAATGTGCAGAGAACAAGAGACTGCCTAATGCTTATCCCTGAATAGGACACCTATATCAATCTTGTGCTTCCCAAGTCTCAGGGATTGTCAAAGAGGGAGCAGGAAGATTGTAAGAGCTAGAGGTGGTGGATGACAACAGAGAAACAAGAGTTTTCCAGATAGAAAGTTATTCATATGAAGTCACAGCAATGGTGACAGCATGTACAAGTCCCACATAAGCTCAAGGGAAATAAAAATCCCAGGACAGACATGGGGAAGTGGTTAAACCACAAGTCTATCTGAGGAACTACTAGCAACTAATGGCTACTGGGAGGGGGAGAGTTAGTCTTAAGGCCAAGACTCTTGGGAAGCTGACCAGGCTCCAGTGGATGAACACACACTGAAGGACATTGAAGGACATTTGGGGACACAATATTTTGACTCTATAAGTATATATACATATACATATATATGTGTGTATGTGTTTTATATATATATATGTGTGTGTGTATGAAATTGGATAGGGTTAGTAAAGATATGGGAGGGGATCTAAATATAATCAAAGTACATTGCATGATATTTGCAAAATTTCAATTAAAAGTACTAACTTTCCACCTAGGCATGTACAATTCAAACTGCAGACACCAAAGACAAGGACATTTTTAAGGCCAGTGGAAAAGCTTACTATGGATAGAGGAAAGGGATGTGATTCCAGCAAACTTCTTGTGAGAAACCATGCAAGCGAGAAGTGAAGACAGAAAGTTAAAACTTAGCACCAGAATTCCATATTCAGAAAAGTGACCTTTTGAAAGTAAGTGGGAAAAATACTCTGAGATAAAGTATACATAATGGAGTTTACCAGCTAACCTGCTCAGCAAGGAACGAGAATTTCTTCAAGCAAAGTAAAACGCTTAGGTTAGAAACTTCAATCTACATAAAAAGCACCACAGAATATTAACAAAATCTTTATTTCTGATTATAATTAACCTAAAAGGTAAATGCTTGTCTTAGGCGATTATGACATATGAATATATTAAAATGACTGACAGTAAAATTGAAAAGCACAGGAAGGAGGACCTGGGGATATATGGTAATACGTCTGATACCTGCACTCCACATAAAACAGGCTTAATGTACGTAAAAATATATACTGCAAATTCGAGCAATCCTTGGACATTCCCTGGTTCTTTTGTGTATGTGCATGAGTGACTATGGGTAAGAATGCTCATGCCAGAGGATGGCTTCGGTGCCCTGCTCTATCACTCTCCACCTTACTCCCTTGAGACAGTCTCTCATTGAACCTGGCACTAGGCTGGAGGCGAGTAAGTCCCAGCAATCCTCCAGTCTCTGACCCCCTCAGTGCTGAGAGTACAAGTGCACATGTCCATGCCTGACTTTTTATGTAGGTCCTGGGATTTGAACTCAGGTCCTCATGCAGGTTTAGCAAGGGCTTTTGCCCAGTGAGTCATCACCCCAGACTTGATTTTTGACAAAAGACAGGATCTTGCTATGTTGCCCAGGGCTAGAAATCTGAGCTGAAGTAATCTTCCTGTTTCAGCCTCGGGAGGTACACACTTCTCCTCCAGGACAAAATATCCTTGAAAAGGAGGTATAACTTGTTTTCTGAGATAAAACTGGTTAATAAGACGTTCAAAACTAGAGGAAAGCACAAAAAGCAGGAAGAGTAGAACAAATATAACGCGTTACCAGCATCGAATTTTACGACTTTCCACTTTAATATGATGCCAAGGATCATTTAATTTCCTTCTAACTTGTGCTTGGAACCAGGAAACAGGGTCTGATAAGCAGAATGCCAAGAGTTTTGATTCCATCAGTCAAGTCAGTGACCACAGGGAGAAAAGGATTAAGAGACTTAAGCAGAATGCTGTTCCCTAGTTAATTCAAAACCAGGTTAACTTTCTGCATAGTAGTGACCAAATTGTGCTGACATACATTCTTACTTTACATGTTACTAAGCAAGCTTATGGAATGTCAAACTTATCAATCCTGCTATGCACTTGAGATACAAATAAAACATGTAACCACTAGGACACTGGCAAAATTCACTTCTACCTCATGGTATGATTTTCTGTGATTCAGGTCATAGTTAAGTTATCCAACTCAATCTCACCACCATAGGCAGAGGTTTCTCCCACTGTTGATTCAGTAACTGTTCACAGCACTGCCAGGGAAGGGCGGGGCCTGAACTCCTCTTAACTAGCTGTGTGCTCCTGGGACAAGTGTTTAATAGGTCTGAGTCACTTTGATGGGTTTACCTATGACATAGAGATAATAATTGCACTTTGTGGTTGTGTGAGAGTTATCAAGTTACTACGTGGATAGCACTTAACTCATAAAATGGGTAAAATAACTGCAAGCTTTGTCTAGGGCTTCCGCTTACCAAACAGAAGCAGATGCATCTTCAGGCAATATCCTGTTCTGCACCCTCCAGGATAAAGGAGATTTGTCTTTCATGAGATTTGTAGCAGGTGTTAGCAAATTAAGTCCATCTCAGAAAGATAAGTTTCTCTCATTTGTGGTTCCTCGGTTTTGCAGTCATAAAAATCATGTATGTACATAGAAAATGAAGGTAGAAGTGACAAGAGAGGAAGGGGGTGTGAGGGTGCAGGCTTGATGTATGACATAAACCCATATGAAAATTAAAGTATCAGGCAAGCTAACTTTGTGATACACGGGTGGCATGTAAATTCATAAGCATAATTGAAAAAAAATACTCATTCCAAATTTCAGACAGGCATAATGGCACATTCCTGTTCTTGGACACTCAGGAGGCTGTGGCAGAAGGTCTCACTATGTACCTGCCTTAGGTAAACAGTGAGTACAAGGTCAGCCTGGGCAATGTGAATACGACCCTGTCTCAAAATAAGAATTATAAAGGAGCCAGGGAAGCTGGATGTGTTGGTGCATGCCTGGAATCCCAGCACTTAGAAAGTGGAGGTAGGAGGATCAGGAATTCAAGGACAGCCTGGGCTACATGAGACCATGACTTAAAAGGGAAAAAAAAGGAAAGAAAACAAACAAAAAGGGTAAGGGATGCAGCTTTCCCAGCACACTCGAGGCCCTGGGTTCAATCCTTACTACTATAATAAAAACAAAACAAAAATACTTTTTCAAGTTTCTTAGGAAATAAAAGATCCTATTTCTAGTGATTCACTTTCTTTCCTCAACTGGCTTCCCCTTCAGTACAGTATCTGATTAATGGAGTTAAACATGGACCTGTCAGGGAATTTTGCTTTATCTGCCTTAAGAACTCACCAGAGTCCTCTGACATACAAGCTCAAACCTCTATGCAAGGAGGTTTCACTGGCCTCACACCTCTGGACTCCCTGGGCCCATCCTTTAACAAGGACAGGGTTCCACTATTATCTCCTTCCTCGCTTTAAATCATGAACCATCACTGTCAAGCATTCTCTTAACCACCGATTACCCAAGTACTGCAGCTGTCCTCACCTCAGACTGTTCCTTGCCATCTAAAATGCAAAGGCTACATTGCCTCCAGTTAAAAGAAAAAAGCAACTTGGTTGAGAATTAAGTGAATTGACAGGTGTTGGTAAACAATGCTTCATTTGATTTTAACTAATCTATGATACCTTTACATACTGAAAAATCATATAACCTATAGAGATTTCTAAAATACATTTTAAGAGGCCAAATACATTTAAGATATACATGGAAAACTAGATGACTACTAAAGACCTGGGTCAAATAATTTCTGGAGAGATTCCAGAGCTTGGTTTCCTACATTGCTTTAATAACTTCATGACTTCTGTGAAGATGAAAACAATATAATAGCCATATATTTTCAGTATCAGCTTTTATTAAAAATTGCATTTTGATTAATTTATGATTTAGATAAGCTGTAAGATATCAGTATACTCTCTGGAATAATAACTTTACAAAGATTTAAAACAAACAAAAATTTAAAAGCCTTTTTATTTCCTTCACCATTATTGTTTTACAATACAAATATCACCTTATGAACACACACACGCACACACACACACACGCACACGCACGCACGCACACAAAAAAAACTTACAGAAGATAATTCTGCTGCACATAAAATACAGAATGGATATATATACCTCTTCATTCTTAAAAAACTATTTTGTTCTCCACATTGGCAAGTATAGACTAGAATACTTCCCCAAACATACATGTTAGGAGGAAAACTTAGAGTTACATGCAGTTTCTGCACAAATATATTTTTAAAGAAATATATCTTTGTTGTTGTCACCAACAAAACTGTCGTGAGAGTATGGATAACTAATTTGTAGCTTTCAAGTTTTAAGTAACTGATCATTTTCAAAACTCTCTCTTAAAAAAGATATTCATGGCTGTTTTCGTAGTTAAAACTGAACTATCAAATGGACAATGAAACCATTTTAGTGGTAGGCATCGTCTCCTGCTCACAATATGCAAACGGGCTCTCACTCTAACTCACCCCCATTCGTCAAGTCAAAGTAATTTTAAAACCATAAGCAGTCTTCTGATTTAATTTAGCTATAAATGCAAATTTTAGTAGTGTATACATACATTTATATTTTCATGGAATACTTTATTTTAAATAAAAACATTAAGTTGCCTACCAACCATACAATCAAGACAAGAAAGGCACTATAAACATAGACAAATTTCTCTCCCAAGAAGCATTTTTAAATTTTAACTCTCTTTTCTGTGACATGTAAAAATCTTTAAATTTGGTTTTCATAACATCATTTTGAAAAATAAAGTTAGGAAATACTTAGAAAATCACTTTATAACAGAATCTTTTTTTTTTTTGCACTTTTTGATACACCATCTCTGCTAATTTTAATTTTATAAAACCCAAAGTTACCAAACCTCTCTGTGTCTATCATCTTTATCTGAGTATCAGTGCAACAGGTAGAAAGATTTCAGAATCAAATCCCATTCAGATACTTAGAAACCTTCATAGAGACATTTGCTAGAAAATGGCTTACAGCCCTATCTTTGGGGCAAGAGATATGAAAAGTATGTTTTCCCAAGAAAATAACACACTTTATTTCCAGATGTGACTGGAAAGACCAGAACTTATGATATAAAAGCTTACATTTATGCTGTTGAATCATACATAAAGGAACATGGTGGTTGCAGGTTATATAAATCCCAAACTTAAGAACAGGAAATGTGTACAGTGCATGATAGGTTAAATTTCTTTATTGTTGTCCAACGCAGGTCCTTTGGAGAGAAAAAAGATCACAGTGCTGACCAGGTAACTCAATAGGTTAAGTCAAGGTAACTGTTGAAAGATAATAGCAGTAGGGAGGTGTTTATTTTATGGCATCTTCTCTATGGAGTTCTTAGCACTTCGGACAGTTCCTTGTTCCCCACTTGGTACAGCGGTTATGTGTCATTCACCAACCGGCTATATTTAACTTGCCTGCCGAGGTGGACCACTGGCCAGGGGAAGGGCCAATGGTAAGATCGAGGTACAATTCCTTGGACATTCTTTTCAAAGTACTGAAATGGCCTGTACCACCACACCCTGGCCAGGAGGTTCATCTGGGAAGCTTCTTTTAGCACCTAAGGAAAGAAAAGAGCACAAGCATGTCTCCTCACAATCTTTCACTTCAAATACTTCCCACATTAAAATTCACAAATGGCCTCAGACTTGTCCCACATCTACCCACATACCCTAATTCAACCTTAGTTCATCATCCTATACCTTGAACACACCTGCAAACCCTGTCCCACCCCAGTGCAAAGTCAAATAACCCTGATTTCCCTCAGGGCAAGGAAAACTTGAGGTTCCCTTGCTTCTTGCCGTTTTAATATCCCAATTAGCCTTTTCCTCATTCTCCTATGCTAATAAAAGAAAGAATTAATCAAATACAAGCATCAAACTGGTGATGGGTCCAGGTAACAAGAGGGAAGGAATACTTCAATTAAGCAAAAGGCAAACACAGGCTTAGAAAATATTTTTCATAGATGATGAGAGTGTGATACATGTTTTAAAAGGAAGCGGCCTTCTGTGTCATTGCATTAACATGCTTTACACACTGATCCTGAAGAGGACCATTATTACAAAGGCAGCACAGTATCAGTTTGCTACCCCTAAGAAAGAGAAACTGACAAGGGTACCCTTAGATTCTTTATCCTTCCAATAACCCCTACACCTGCCCAAGTCAGAAACACCAAGCCAGGGGCAAGAGATGTTAAAATCAAATGGAAGAAACTCACTTGCTGATTGGCCATAGTGTGATACCACCAGAAGAGTCTTGTGGTGATGTAATATGCCACCACCACATCCACAGTGTAGTGGTCATGCGCTAAGAGAATACAGAAGATTCCAACGACACTGAGCAGCCAGCAAATCCAGTGGTACCACCAGAGTCGTCGAGGGGAATCTAGAAAGAGGATAAACTGGCATCAGTCAGATTCTCCAATATCACGAAGGTCACTTAGCCATGCCTTTGCCTCCCCCCACTGCGTCCAACTACCTTTTGCCTTTCCTTCTGAAAGCCCATTACCTGGGCTAGTAAATCAAAGGACTTCAGTTTCTCTATAACCAGAGTTAAAATGGAAATAGCCTTTGATAAAATGATTTGTCTAGCAGTAGTAATTCATACAAGGTTATACACTGATCCATCTAATAATAGACAAAACTTAAAAGGTGAATATAACCAAATAAGCACAAGGTAGTTACTCCATTATTTTTTTTGTGTGCACGTATGTGCATGTGTGTGCATATGTGGAGACCAGAGGGTGTCAAAGGGTGCCTCCTTCGATCAGTCTCTACCTTACATATTGATGGAGGGTCTCTCACCAAATGCAAACAAAGCTCACCAATTTGGCTAGACTATCTGGCAAGCTTATTCTCAAGATACCCAGTCTCAGCCTCCTGAGCTCAGGAATCACAGTCAGGCTGACATGCTTGCCTGGCATTTCCTTGGGTGTCGAAGAGCTGAACTCCAGTCTCACGCCTGTATCTCAAGCACTTTACTCACTGAACCATTTCCCAGCTCCTGTCCGTTGACATTTAACTAAACTTAACCTGTAGCTAATTTGAGGCTAATGCTTCATAAAAACTCAGTATCTATTGCTCCACGGATCCCCACACATGGACTAAGTAATCTAGTTGCAACAGCTGTCACATTTTGCTTTTTCAGGTTCTGTTACCACATAATAATCTGAAAGACTGAGATTTCTGTTTCTTAAATACAAATAAAACAATCAGATGCCTGGAATTTGTAGTTCAAATGGTTCCCAAATATATGACATTGTCATTGTCATACAAATTCTTGTTTGTACCAGACACCTGCGAGAAACCTCTATTAGTACAGGTCTTTTTTATCTTGCACTCTCACTGGGGAAGGGGTTAGAAGGTCTGGGATTTCAGGCAAAAAGTGTGACTGGACCTTCCCATTTCAGGGGAGAAGGTGCTGGTTTTTACTGGGTTCTCAAGAGGTCCAGAAGTCACTCACTTTGCCAAGACACATCTACCATATACCCGGCGACAGGTACCTGGGTCAACGAACAAGCAGGCAAAGGCCCACCTGTGTGGGAGGAACCCTTCCAGGAAGGGAGGGAGACAAGAGACTGCAACCATAGCGAGACACACATTGTACTGGAAGGTGAAAAACAAAAAAAGGAAGAAAAGTGAACTGGGGGAGGGGGGTGGGGGGATGAGGAGGAGAGAGAGGAAGGGTGGGAGTTTTGTTGTTTGCTTGTTTCATGCATGCGTGCGTGTGTGCGTGTCTATGTATGTAAGTGTTTTTACAATTTAAAATTGGGTGGCTGGAGCAGGACTGTCCCAGTATTTGTTCTTGACACCTTAACAATGCAGCAATAGCAGCTAGCACATGTTTTCTGTGCAATCTACTAGCCTCTGCATACACCACTTATTTTAATTTTTATGACCTCTTCCCTATTCATGAAGTAGGATTTCATCCCCAAAATGAGGAAACAAATACAGAGATTAAAGATTTCCCCAGGGTCATAAAGCTGAGAGCTGACAGCATCAGGATTCAAAATCAGAGAGTTGTGATTATTGCAAAGCCTCAGCATTTCCCAGTAAAGCACCCTGCCTTATGGTCAAATATAATTTATGACAATACAATTCCAGATACCAACCAGCAGGGGGCAAGAACTCATTTCCCCAGGGCTAATGGCATCTGACTTCAACATTCCCATTTTCTATACTTGGTTACATTGTGGTATGAGGACTGGATGCCCTGTGAATTCTGAAGAGACATTTCTAGAATTCACTGCATGTGATCACACACTAAATATAAGTAGAACATCTTTTCTCTCTCCTCTCTTTCAGGGCCCTCTGGAAGACCTCACCTCCTTCTGGGCTCCTTTACTTGTTTTGGTGACCAGAATTGCCCAGTCCACCACCTCTTTCCTTTTCTCTTCTGTTTGCCCTGTTGTACAATTATTATTCTCCTTCCTTCCCTCCGCTTCTCTTCACTGGTAACATCCCCACCATAGTTAAGCCACACCTCTGCATGACAGACAGCAGCCAATCACCAAACTCTTCTCTTGGTCTTTGTTCCTCCTTCTTCAGTGCCTCCACAAACTGCTGCAGGAGTGATTTCTTCCTCTCTGAAGGATGACACTGTTCCTTTGGTTCTCACCCTTCAAAGTGCACCCCATCTGTGTCAGACAGAAGCTCAGACTCTGTCTTGCTGTGTGGGGCACCCTCTGATCTGGCTGCCATTTACCTGTGCATTCTCATTTCTCTTTATGACGCCCACTCTCAGTTCCCACCACATACAATTTTAAGCACTACCATGCTCCCCAGATATCTCCTGACTGCAATGTGGGTCCCTCCTCTACAAGATCACAGCAGACTACTCCACCTATCCCTTTCTGGGAACTGTCTGGATAACGTTCACTGGAGACTGAGATTAGGCTACTTTTAACAGTAAAATTTTGAAGATAATTGAACTTTCCAGAGAAATAAGTAATCTGTGGTTAATTTATCAGGCTGAAATCCAAGAGCAACTAAAATGAATGATGTCTCATAAACAACGAGAGTAAAACATGGCAGAAGAACATATATGTATATACACCCATATACATACACACATGTACATAGGTACACATATACACAGTAGAAACGCATGCAGGAAATTATACAAGGAGATGAGAGATGGAAAAACTGAAATGGTATTAATTATATATTAACATTTTATTTTCTGAGTTGGGCGTGGTGGTGTATGCATTTAGTCCCAGCACTGGGGAGGCAGAGGCAGGCGGATTTCTGTGAATTCCAGTCCAGCCTGGTCTACATAGTGAGTTCCAGGCCAGCTGGGACTACAGGGAGACCCTGTCTCAAAAGGACCAAAAACAAAACAAAACAAAACATTTTATTTTCTGTAAAAGGGTTATCTGAAGCAAATATAGTAACATGTTAATACACTGAATTTGGGGAGTGTATAAGGATATCTATAATATTTTGTTTCACAGTAAAATATTTTAAGTGTCCTTAAAGGAAAGTTTCCATTTAGGGTGTGCCCTACTCTTCACGGTCCTTTTGGAGGCACATTCTGACCCATTATCATACCCCTAGCATGCAGCATAGTGTTGAGTGCTTGAAAAACTGGCTCCTGAGTCAACACATGATCTTTCCTTCTGACTGCTTGGCAGCTTTATCCCTGGCTCATAACATACCCTGGGAAGTGCCAACACTACAGCTGACACCTCGTGAAGAGGCACAGCTGTGGCCTTCCATGCATTTCCCGGGGTGCACAAGGATGAGATGAGGCTGTTGTCCTGAAGTGCCAGTCTGGCTTTAGCAGACATTTTACCAAAACTGAATATTCAAAGGACCAGGGGTCATGGGAAATGGCAAGTGAGGAAATTAACAATGAAAGGCTGTTTTAGACTTACACTCTTTGATAAATAAGTAGGTGAGTGTTAGCATGACCGTGTGGCCACTGTACAGATAGTCCCCACACATGTTGTGAGAGCCAGTGATAGACAAGCCACCTCCAGCAATGAGCTTCATTATTCTCCGCACTTGAGCTTCCCAGTCTCCAAAAAGCTAGCAGGAAAGAAAACAAGATTCATTGTTAGTCCACATGGCAGTTTGCTACCATTCCTATTTAAAACCACAATTATGTTTTATTAATATATATCCACAACTTTATTAAGACACACAAAATCTTCACCATCAAGTATGCCCACTCACTGTTTATCTTTGAACTGATAGCCCCTGGGAAGTGTATGGTACTAGTGTTTGCTGCTGTTGTTTTTTCTAGACAGGATCTCACTATACAGCCCTGGCTAGCGTGGACCTCACTATGCAGACCAGGCTGGCCTCGAAGATTCATCTGTCTCTGCTTCTGCCTCCTGAGTGCTGGAATTAAAGGAGTGTACCACACCATGTATTTGCATCTTTTTAATGGTACATTTCAACAGATTTTTACCTTTCGAGGGGAACTTTGGGAGTTTGACCCAGGGCCTCATGCATGCTAGGCAAGTGCTCTATCAGTAAACCACATGCCTCTATTCAATTTATTTTAATATACTAAAAGAGAAAGACTACGTGGATGATTTACTAGAACTGCTACTTCAGAAAAAGAAAATTTTAATCTTTAGAGATGCACTTTTGCCACACTTGGTCTCCAGGATAATAGTTCCACTAACTCATTAGCTAAAGTAACTGGAGTCTAGTTAGTCAAATGAACATAAAGCAAGGGACTCCACACAATGCACCTTCAGTCCTCTGAAATTATGTGGGCAACGTGGTAAGGGTGGGAGAAAAGTTCATAAAGTAATCTGGCTGCCTAAGATGCAAGGTTGGTCTGGAGTGGAGAGTAAAAAATGGCCTCAACAACCCACTTGATGCCACTAATATTTATTCCATCAAATAGATATGTAAATGTTTGTGTTTTATGACTGTGGCACCCTTTTAAATTCTGGTAGGCTGATTTAATCACCACAATCCCCTTTCAACATTTAACTGCTAATATTCTAGCTCTGGGAAATGCATGTTTCATTACAATTTTCCTTTACAAAAGCAATCAGGATTTCTGCAAGAGCAAGTTACCCAGACCACACAGAGGATATAAATCTCCCAGTTCAAAGGAATCTTTGAATGGTCAGCACAAAAGAAGAAAGCAGATCTACATTGAAAGACCCAATGCCATGGCACTACAGAAACTGGGCACGGAGATGCTAAAGCCACCCCCCGCACACACACATATACACCAAGATTAAAAACAAGCTTTAAATGGAGGATTCATTCAAATAAAACTTACAGAAAGCAACTCCAGAAGTGATAGCTTGTAGGAGGAAAAGTCTTTAAATTCTTTTAAAAATTCTTTTATTTATTTCTACTTTACACATGTATTTGGTGTGCACATAAATTCACCTATTTGTGCAATACCTGGGGGTCAGAAGAGAGCACCGAATCCCATGGAACTGGAGCTATGGATGGTTGTTAGCTGCCACATGGGTGTTAGGAAACAAATGCAGGTCCTCTGCAAGAGCAGCCAGTGCTCTTAACCCCTGAGCCAGTTTTCCAGCCCCACTCTTCAAATTCTTGAGCAACAGATTTCCAATTTGGATTTCAGACTTAGCCAGATAACCAAGCTTTCTTTATATACTAAGGCTTTACAATATTTGCTATGTCTATATGCTTTTCTAGGAACTGCAGAGTATGTATTCTCCAAGGCAAGTGAATAGTCACAGACAAAGGAAAAACTACATCTCTCTAGAATAGCATGAGGGGAGAGCCCAAGAGCTGTGTGGCAGCTTTTGCATTGACCTGGAAAGTGTCCAGTTCAAAGGCTTTGCAGAGGTCTTCAAAGACAAGACACTGATGGAATAGTCATGGCTTTTGACTATAATTCATAAGTTGGGGATGAACAAATATATAGGAAGCTAGTAAAAGAAAAAGCAAGGTGATTATTAATTCTATAGGATACAAAATATTGTACTGCAAAGGAGAAATAATGACAGGAAATGACATGGCTTAGCTGTGAAAAGTAATCATGCACAGAACTGTAATCATGTAAGCCCTGAATATCAAACTGCACAGGGAACAGACAAGAAGCTACAAGGTACACCCAGAGACACAAGAAAAAGGCAGGGAAAGGTACAGAGGACACAATATCCTCTCTTTTCACAACAGGAAGTTAATAATAGAGAAGATTAAAGTTCAAGAGCATCCTTGGCTAGTTCAAGATCAGCCTAGCTGACTAGACCCCAGCAGATGAATGTGCACTGAAAGACGTCAGGGGGATACTAACTTGACTTGATAGGCCTTAACATACATGATAGAATGCGTAAAATCCAGTGCGGGGCTATGGGAGGGTGCTGATGGGCAAAGGGGGTATAAAGATAATGAAGATGTTGTATATGAGATACACAAAAATTCAATAAAAATTAAAGAATAAATAATCATCAACCTTTTAAAAAAATTATACCCAAATGTGGTGTCACCTATAGTTGCCTGCAATCCAAGCTCTTGAGAGGCAATCATGAAAGATACACACACACACACACACACACACACGGAATACATAGAAAGAAAAATGATATTCCTGTATCACTTAGAAATAATGAATCTATGAGTTAGAAAAATCTGCAAAAAGAGGTAAAGATATGGTTATCAATACCATAAGATTCAGTAACAGTTAAAAGGAGATAGGAAAAGGAGACAAAATAGGATCAGGGCCAGGAGATCATTATTTCCTTTTTTATTATTTTAATTTCTTTTATGTGTTGCCTGCATGTATATGTGTACCTGTAGGTGCAATGCCCACAGAGGCCAAAAGAGGGAGCTAGATCCCCTGGAACTGGAGTTACTGGCAGCTATTAGTCACCTTGTGGGTGCTGGGAACCGAACCAGCATCCTCCACAAGAGCAGCCAGTGTTCTTAACCTTAACTGTGGAACCATCTTTGCAGTCCCGAGATCATTATTTCTTATACCAAGTTTAGTAGAAATATTTTTAAAATTGTATGCATAGAGAAACACAATTTTTCTAAAGTTTCAAATGCAAAGTTTGAGCTAGTTATGTCCTAATAACAAATAATAGGTAAGGAAAATTATGGCCCCAAACTTTATTTCTTCATTTCACATATTTCAAATTAACCTTCTAGGGCCTGAAGGTGTGGCTCACAAGCAAGCAAGCATGAACCCTATGCGAAATTCTCTCTCCAAGTCTGTTTTGAAAGCTGCAAGTCACACTCCCCTGGCAGCATTACTCCATCTTTTTCCTCTCATGTTAACATGAAAATTGCGGTGAAGCCATTATGTGTGGAAGACAGAAGGGGATGATCAAATAAATGGCAAGATTAGGTAGAGAGTTTATATCGTAAACAATTTCCTCTATTAGGAAGGAAAGCAGAAAAAAAAGTTTTGGTAAATTTTTAACTTCTTTTTTTAACTAGGCACAGATAAAGTCTGGAGCGCAGCATTCTAAACATTCACAGGGTTATAAGAAAGTGGGGATTCTCCTGGGCCTTATCCCAGAGCAGTATCCCCTCCTCTCCATGGGCCAGAGAGAGGGATTCATTTTGCAGCATTTTCTGTCTGCAGTTTTGGAGCCTGTGTTGCCTCTGAGTCCAGGCAGGAGACAAGAGTGAAGAAATAAACGCAAAAGAGCATCTTCTATACTCTGCATTTTGGTTTCCTTCCTCAATCTGCGACTGCCACTTACTTTTGCACCCTCAAACAGCTTCTCAATAGATTCTGTCCAGCATGTTTGGGATACACCCAGTGGAAAGAAAGTATACAGAGAACTCAATACTCCACTAGAGCCTTCCCTGCTGAATGCCCATTGCTGAAAGTAATGAGATCTCAGAAAGTCTCACATTTCTATTGCTATAAAAATTACGGCCCAGAGTTCTAGAAAGTCAGTGTTCATCAAAAATAAGACAAGTTTGTTCAAAATTTAATGAATGACCAAGAATGAAGTCTGCTCGTCTTCCGTCTGTATGCAGAAGCCAAGAGCGTTTTCTAACTGCATTTGAATAGGGAGGGGCAGACTCTGTCACTAGGACCTATTAAATGATGTTACAAATGAGTGGCTTTGGTACAACTGATCGAGGGCAGGAAATGAGTGCAAAGGTATAGAAATGCAATTTAAAATAATCCTCAACCATTACTTTGACCTCCCATCTTTGAATAGCCCTGAAAATTCAGCAAGGCAAATCTTACCTTAGTCCTAAGTCACATTGGTAGAGCTGGGCCTGTATTTCAAGTGATCTGACCACTTACATGTATAGCACATAAAGATGTTTCCATCAAAGATGGACTGCACAGAAGACAGAGGTGCTGAGAAGGACCTGGAGAAGTGGGAGAGCAGCCAGCAGCTCACTACTCATATCTGTGATGTGGATGTAAACCTACTGTCCCGCCAGTCATATGAAAGCATAGGATATACAGTTATGCACTATCTCCTATAGTAAACTTATAATTGTTAGAGTATACTCCTCTCTACTTACAGAAAAAAGTCAGGCTATAGATGTAACTCAAAGCATTTGCCTGTCATCCATGAGGTTCCCAATTTTAATCCCTAATGTCACAAAATAAAGAAAAAAGTTAAGAGATGACAGTTCTACCCACCACCTTCCAGTGAGACAAGATGTGGAGGTAAAAAACAGATAACAATGATGGGAACCCTGTGTAGACCCAAGCTAATGTGTATGTCTTAGCTCTTAAGAAAAAGTATAAAAACTAAAGGTGGCGCACACGTTTAGTCCCAGCACTCGGAAGGCAGAGGCAGGTGGCGCATACCTTTAGTTCCAGCACTTGGGAGGCAGAGACAGGTGGATCTCTGTGAGTTCAAGACCAGCCTGTCTACATAATGAATTCCAGGCCAGCTGGGGCTACAGAGAAACCCTGTTTCAAAAAAGACCAAAAAAAAAAAAAAGTGCAAAAACAAAATTTAATAAATAAGACAAAGCTTATGGAATAAGAGGACAAAGAAAGTTCCATATAATTATATAATGCACTTTAAACTAAGTATTGTTACAAAAGAATGCTGAAATGAAAAGTTCTAGGCCTTTGCATTCACTCACCATTTGCTCCC